ATCAGAATCAGAATGACCAGACGTAAACAGGAGATAAGCTATCTGCTTCTTATTGTGGACAAAAACGTCCTCAATGATGTGCCTGATCAGTGCTGACCAGGACCACCAGATTGGTCTCCTGGTCTGTAAATGAAAACACACTGGTTGACAATAATTTGTTCCTATATTGAACATATTTAATTAACAGCTTCATCATCACTAAGCTTTATTAAAACAGTGTTATACAAAAAACAGAATTTTGAATACTTTGTATTTGCACTGTTTCTTCTCTACTCCGTTAACGTTGGCCATATTGAGAATTGACGATTGTCCCCTGTTCATTTGCCCATCTTTGCTGGGAGTCAAGAATGGGAGTCACCTGTTCTGACCGCCTGATCAGTGGAATCTGTGGCTGGCAGTATAAACAGACGTCACCAGTTTACTATACAGGCCGTTTTGTTTCTGTTTAGAGGGTAAAAGGAAAGACCTGTCCTGACTCAAAGGGTGGGCTGGATCTGGAGCCAGCTGGTAACCCCAGTGTGAACAGTAGGGCAGGGATCAACACTCAGGGGAGGACAGGGCATCTCATCTGAATGTTCCTCTTAGAGCTGGAGGGAGAGCTGTGGCTTTCAGAATTAAAGAGGTGGCAGATGAAAAACAGAGATAAGAGCTGGGTGCTGAACTCTGCATTGCCTACAGCCACAGCTCCTTAAAACTCTGTGTCTCCTTCTGGTTATTCCACAGGATCCAGGCGAAAATTCCAAGTGCCAAACCCAAAGAACAGTGAGGAGAGAGGGGACACTAGGGGCGCCTCTCCAAGTCTTACCAGGCGGCTCTCCTGCCTCAGAGCCCCGCTCCTGCTGGGGGTCAGGGGGTATGGGAAAGGGTTCGAGAGGCACGATCTGAAAGCTGAAGTGGATGGCAGGGTGGGGCTGCAGTTTGCAAAAACTATAGGTGTCCATCTCTGACAGAGAGAAAAGCCTCCAGTCCAAAATCCATAGTTTTAATTTAATTAAAAGGGAGAAAAGCATCTCTGGAGTTGTGTGATTGTAGTTTCTAGCTGTTTCTCCTTCTCTTTTTAACACCTTCTGCTCCATTCTTCTTCCGAGTTCCTCTGTGTCCGAGCTGTGGGCCACAGAAGTCCACTTCCTGTCTGCCTCCGGATTGCTCCGGAGTCGCAGTGGGAATGCGCGGCAACTCAGGATCACCTGCACAGCCTCGGGTTCAGCTCCGGCTCAGCAGAGACCAGAGACTTCCAATCCCCCGCCATTACTTCCCTTGCGAAACCTACTGCGGTATTGATGCCGGCATTTTTACCAGGGTTTTACCATAGTTTTGCTGTGGCTTCAACACGTCCTCACTGTGCTGGACTACAGTGGACCGTGGGGGTGTTATTCCATGATCTAGTGGACACAGTGAGGGCATGGCTACACCACGCTGACATGCAGGTAAAACCCCAGTGAAATCGGGTCAAAGTGCAGAAACCCTGAGCTCTGCCTCGCTGGTCGGGAACAGGATTCTGCTTGCCTGGCCAATGTGTGTGCAGGGATACAGTTCATTTCCCAGGCTGTTATACAGTGTAGGTAATACGATCGTCTCTGCAGGCTCCTCAGCTCAAGCTGCTGTATGAGCTCGCAGGAGGACACAAGCTGATCAGACAGACCTCGTCTGTACTAACAACGATATAAAAAGCGTATGCTTTCGAGGACCGGAGATCGTCGGGTGTGTTGTGCTACACAGCGATTGGAATGTTGAACCTGTCGTATCACATTTTACATACGGGAGCGATAGTTGAGTCTACTTCCTCCGCTTGATCGTGATGGGATCTGGACTGGCAGTGGACATGTGGCCCCAGCCTCAGCAAGAAGAGAAGAACTTGGAGGAGGAGAGAGAAGCAGAGTGTTGCATCAACTCACAAGCAGGTCCGGCCCCATTTAGCCAGAATCTTGAGTGATTTGTATGAAAGAACCACGAATCCCAGTGATCAAAGTTAGTTTTTCTTGTTCACCCATTCCCTGGTGAAAACTCAGGAAAGTGTTAACTGGGTGAGCTGCACTGCAACAGTAGAATTTGCCAGTGCACCACCACAAGGGGGAGCCCCTGCGCACCACTAAGCGTTATGTGAATATGACAGCGCCCCCTGTGATGCAGGAGGACCTCTGCACGTAGCAAGTTAGTGAAGACGTTTCTGCAGCGCCTGGGACACTGGCACCTGAGGGTGCAGCGAGGCCTCCGAAGTCCCCCAGCTCTGAGAGAGACACGAGAAAGTCTTAATACAGGAATCCAAATGTCATTATTAGTATTATTATGGTTATTATTGATTTTTTTGTATTGTTACCAAGTATAAAATACCCTACTTTGACTCTTGCAATAAATAAAAGTGACGAAAAAAAAAACTTTGGAGCTCTTGGAAAACTAACTGGGTGTGGGTTTGTTGTCCTCTGTGGGAGAGTTTTCTAAGAGACCCCTTGTGCAGGCTGCCCAGCAGGGGGCAGTAGGGCCTGGCTGGCTGCTCCAGACTGAAGAGAGATACTCCGAGCCCTGCCCAGTCCCACAGCGTGGCTCACGTGGGCTGGAGGAGCGAGGGAAGAGTGCTGCAGCCAGGTGGCGTCAGGGTACACTAGCACCTACTGTACAGCACTGCGAATCTGCGTGGCTTCATGGCAGCGGTGCTCAGAGACTCCAGGGCACAGGACTGAAAGACATAGGCACTGCCCACAGAAACAAGAGGCCCAGGAACGGATCTGAGACGGGAGTCGAGTTTTAGCGAGGGAGTTATGTAGAGACAGTAAAAAACTGGAGTCACTTAAACTGTGGAACCAAAGCTGGTGAAGAGGGTTACAGGTCACATGTGGTGCACGGTTTCTGCCCTGCGTCGTGATCCACCTCTTCATTTCTGTGGCTCTGTCTTCTCCATTCCACCTGCGACTGCTCCTTCAGCAAACTGTCATGGCAAAGTGTACGTGAGTGTGGGGAGCATGTTCTGTCAAAAAGCCAAGAGAAATATATTTATTAGACAGCCTGTATATTGATCAATTACTCTTAAGCAATAGGTGGACAAACCAGAATAAGGAGCAGGTTCTGTCTGCTCATCTGAAACTCCAGAGGACCGGGATCTCAGGGTGTGCTGGGGTGCTGTTGGCGGGGGGCC